AAAGTGTTTAATTTTTCTTGTTTTTTTTTTACTATCCTTCAGCTTGCTTTCTTTCTGAATGTTAATTAAGAAGCTAAATATTTAATTACATCTTATTGGGTTATTATGAGTATGCCCAGTAAAATTTGCTTAATTCACACTGCAAATAACTGTAACATTGAATCGCACTGTTATTGTTGTAAAATTATACATTCATTCTAGTTGTTAAAATTACCATTTAGTTTTACAGTGTAGGTTTGTGTAAGAATCTTCGCTTGTAGTCGGTATTCGATCGCCTGTTTTTAGGAACTGAAATTTTCAACAATTCTGTAATATTAAGATTAACAACATAACTAGCACTATTAAACTTGTCAGGCAGTAAGGGTATCCTGGGGGGGTATCCTTAACTATACGGCGTAGTTTCTCTGCCAAGGGGCACTTAAACGCCTCCAAAAGGTAACCTAAGCATGTTGGTGGTCTAAAAGTGGGTTTGAAGTTTCATAAAGCTATAACATGTTATCAGATTTTGCGTTTCTGTCCCCCCACCAGCCCACCCACCGACATTCATAACCGTTGGGACTCTATTTTTAAAATTGTGTTAATGTCCCTAAGTCATAAGCTAGCGAGACCAAACATGGTACACGTGCTCAGGTAGCATGGGTGGGTGTCTAAGGAGGCTTGTTTTAGGTTGAGGACCCCCTTCTCCTGGGGTATCTAAAGAGATAATTAGCTATAATGGAGAATCTTGACTGATACTTTATGACATCTGCGAAACTCTCAGCGGACCACAAGTATTTTATCCGCTAGTCTTTATCCATGCTTTATTTACATACACGAAATTGTTTTAGTAAAATATGAATTTCATGTTTACCTAAATAATACTTTTATTGCTGACAGTATAATATATCAGAGAATACATAGTGCAGAATCTTGTCAAATGGTAAAGTAACTACATTTCAACACTTGATTTGGAAAAATAGTCAAATGGTAAAGTATCTGCATTTTCAACACTTGATTTGGAAAAATAGTCAAATGGTAAAGTATCTGCATTTTCAACACTTGATTTGGAAATATAGTCAAATGGTAAAGTATCTGCATTTCAACACTTGATTTGGAAATAATAAAAACAGAAGCAGGTTATAGACTCTTTACAAGAGAAGCAGTAAAACATAGAAATGAATATAATATAGTCAGAAAAAAAAAACCCCAAAAACAGTTCTCTGTGTTTATTTTTTCACTGCGAATGGTGCAGGATGAATCAATGAAATATTACGAGACCCCTGTTTACTGTTTAAAGTAAAAACGGAAGTAAACTTATTTTTATGTTAGTGAATGCGCTTTGATATATATAAACATTCGTAATATACACAATAAAACATAGTCTAATAAGATCTAACATTCATTGATGAAGGAATTCCTTTATAGTGTATATTGAAGAATCTTACCACTGATTACTGTGTACAAATTTAAAAGATGTACAATGTAAGAAGAAACACGTTGGAATTGCGTTTTTATCATAAACTTCGGTGAACAATCTACGTCTTAATGATGGAAGCTATAGACAATTAAGTTACATCACATCATGTCAATCGAGGTTGAGAAACAGTGATTGGCTAAAATTCAATAAAACCACAGTTACAAAGTAACATCAACAATATTTTGTTCAAAACTCTTTATGATTTTCCTCCCGTGTTTAAAATATATCACAAAGTTTCTTGTTCATTAACTTTCCCGAATACTCTACGACTAACTTGATCGTAACATGACGCGCCCTCTAGATAACGTCTAAATTATAATATTAGAAATATAGCTTATAACAATGTAACTGTAACGTATAACCCTTATGTATTCATCGATTCACCGTACCATCTATTGTTGACTGCAGTTTCAGCAAAGCTTGGGTCAGCAAACCAAAGAAATACAGTAAGGCCTTTTACAATGGTATTGTGTATATAATATATATATATATATGAGTTATAAAGTATTTTTAACTCAACGTTTAGTAACGTAAGTTAATTTAAGTATGGGAAAAATGCTGTTTCATTGCACCAGTTTTATTAATCGGTATACTTGTTATTTATACGCCAAGCTTTTACTCTGGTCGTGTACAGTGGAGACGTATGCGAGAAGAATTAAGTAAAAATGCAACCATTCACACCCATTACACTGTCTTTTGCTTTTGTGTTGTATCTTGGCTTACCTGTTGTCTTTGGGTTTTACCATTGAATACAACAATAACATACATTTACGAGCTGATAACCAGGGAGTGTTCAAATTTTGGAATCCGAAAGTTTGTTTTTATGAATTCTGATTTGAAACTAGTGTAATTTATATCAAAACAACAACAATATTTACATAATAATATGTAGTTGTTAGAATATGTTAAATTCCCTCTTAATTATTTGACTCCTCACAGAGAATTTTAGTCGAATATCAAACACTAATTAACTCACAACTGAGTAGGAATCAACATTTGTTATTCCGTAATAAATCTTTTCTAATGTTAATCTTACATTTATCTCCCCCTCCAGGTGTTAAAGCAAGGGGAAGCAATATAAAGGTGGGGGTACTATTCTACGAACATTACGACGAACGTTGAATAATCTCTTCAGGATTTCAAAAACACGTATAGCCTGCTTGTTACCATGGGAACACAAGAACTGCCTTGGACTGTTAACTCGAATATTTATTCCACTTTCTGCCATCGACACAAAGTAATTAAAAACTTTCACCTTAGGATAAAAGCGAGAAATAGTCAAAAATAGAAATATTAATCTATCCTCCAAACAATTTGTCATTTTTTGTGTAATGGGTATTAATACACAGTAAGCGTGGAAATATTAATCTATCCTCCAAACAATTTGTCATTTTTTGTGTAATGGGTATTAATACACAGTAAGCGTGGAAATATTAATCTATCCTCCAAACAAGTTGTCATTTTTTGTGTAATGGGTATTAATACACAGTAAGCGTGGAAATATGGAAATATTAATCTACCCTCCAAACAATTTGTCATTTTTTTAAGTAATGAGTATTAGTACACAGTAAGCGTGGAAAACAGAAAATAAGTTCTAAATGTATAGTATTAAGTTGTGTATTCGTACACGTTATAGCACTGTTTAAAATACCAATGTATCTAAGCAAAAATGTGAGTTTAACAATGATGATAATCAAAAAACAACAACAACAACTTATAATTAGCCAAATACTGTTGCCTACTAAGAAGTTGCACAATAACATTTTCATTTACACTTTAAAATTGCGGGCTGTTGCTAATTCATTGGATCTCACTCTTCCCTATTTACATCAGCTAGTTTTATAATTGTTGTGAAGGTACAATGAACTAATTACTGCTAAAAAGGTTGTCCATTTTAACGCTAAAAAATGTTGTTGCATAAAAGCTACAGATGCAAATGTTTATTTCGTGGACTAAAAATCCATAGGCTATTCGATAAAGTAAATATTTTAGCAATTTTGATGTAATGATACAATTCTTAGGAGTCCACAATCATATTTACCCCTGAATTATAAACCTTCATGTCACTTTTTTAGGAGTATTTGTATATTTTAACCCTACAATTTTTCACAGGTGTGCCCAATTCTAGAGCAGTACTTATGGTTTATCATGACGTATGAATAATAAGTTAGCTCAGTTATGGGAATACAAATATTTAATAGTATTTAGTGATTTTCAATAGCTTGATAACATCAGTGTATAAAACGCTGTTAAATTCCTTAGAATTATAACTTGATTTAGACATAGCGGTTCTATTTGTGCGCCCCCCTTCCTTGTGACTCATCAATAAGCTGAGGACTTGTATCGCTAAAATTCGTGACTTGATGTCCGATAACAGATAGCACTTGGTTTAGATCTTTACCCTTAACACCAAATAAACTACACGAAATTTACATATGCACCGATATGTATGATTTTATTAAAGCAACCACTTTGTTCATATTGTATCGTTTTGATACAGTTGTTACAAGGGTCTACAGAAGTAAATATCAGACTAGATTATATTTTATAATAGTGACGATATACAAATAGTGGAGTATGTTTTTGAATATTTAAATCAGCAAGTCACGTGAAAACCACATTCGATATAAACTCGTGGTGAAACGGATTGTATCAAACTAAATTTTAACATTGTTTGGCATTTATCAGGTAGCGTGATGTCACCGAAAATTGGGGAATAGTTTTCCGTTTTGGGGAAAAGTATGTAATAGCCCTTACCACCTCAAGATTTTCATACACTAAGATCATAAAGATGTGTTCAGTTCAGGAATTTCGAATTTCACATAAGGGAATAACCTTTGTTTTTAATGTCATGCGAAAAAGATGGGGAGAGAGAGAAATATGGAGCAATATCGGCTGTCAGGCCCATCCAAAAAGTGATCTACAACAAGTCGTGACCTTAGTCGCAGTAAATGATGTGCGGCGTTTTATAACAGGTGAAAGAATCCACGAACACAAAAATCAGTGGCAAAGTTTGTCCATGTGCCTTAGGCAACAGTATGGAACATATTCAAGAAGTATCTCCTCCTTAGAAAACAACGTAAGTCACGTGTACACAAGAGAATGAAGCTGGTATTCATGATAATCCATACGAAGGCATACATTCAAGTCACCGAGCGCAACGCCCATGGATTTCTGTGCAGGAAAACCGCTGTAGTCGTTCATTAGATGCATTCTGGAAAGTCTTATGGTATGTTTTTGACATTACATCGTTACGATGGAGTCTTTTGCAGTGGAAAATACGCTGCAGGACTATTGTCAAGAATGACAACCTTCAGATAAAGCATGATCGGATGTGGCGACATGTACTGTAACGACGTGGTGAGGCTCCAAAACTGTTTTAAAATAACGTCGTACTCAACCTCTGTATTTAAGATTTCCGTCGTTGTGAGACGTATAGATGAAATATTTTAGATCATAATGTGCGTAATGTTTACTCTTTCACAGAGAAAAAAAAACATTTTTAATTGTTTTTGTTGTGTTTTTGTTTTTTTTAATTTCATAGATTTTATTGCCCGAAATGGAAGAATGACGGAACCCATGGCTAAAAAGAAATTCTGGCAAATTTTGTCTGCTGTAGAATATTGCCATAATCATCGCATTGTACATCGAGATTTAAAGGTAGGTACCGCAAGACTTGTTCGTAAATTCGTTGTTAGTTGTTCAGCGTTTAGCATTTTTATAAACATTTAATCCATATTAGCAAATGTTCTAACGACTGTCTGTGAAAACGAAAACCAGTTGTTTGCATATACTGTGCACAATGTTTGTAAATAATAAGTTAATGCCTACTTTAACGTGGATACCACATTCATAGTTCGTGTACTCTCGTGTGATTTTTGATAAATGTTGTAATAAATAGTGAAATATTTTTAATTGTTATTCGATATAAAGTTGATTGATTACAGACCCGTTTTGTTAGTGTAGTAGAAGCAAAATTCATTTTAACAATTACTGGGTTATCATTATTAGAATAATCCGAACGTGAGTATGGTGTAGTTAAAAGTTAAAGAAAGTATATTGTATCATTTTCATAGTTTTTTCAGACAACCGTTGTTATAAGGGTCTATAGAAACGTGCTATTTTGTGTCTTATAGCTTTACTAAATCAAACTGAGATTTAAACCAAACTTACGAAGTGCTATTGTGTAATACAGTCACAAAAGACGCTTTCGATTGATAAAAATATATATAGTTGTTCCAAATAAGATAAATATTAACAGAGCTATTGTAATATATAACACAATTTCCCTCTTGTACAGAATCATAATTGATATTCTGAACTTGTTTAGCATCATATTTTTATAATATTTTAAAAAGAATTAAAACAACAAACTTGTGTGCTGTTTATATACGCGTTGGACCAACACCATTGTTTCTAACATCTTCCGTGTATTTTTATGTTGTTCTCTAAAGACATCAGTTGCGTATGACATCTTCGTCGTTATCATCAACAACTGTCAGTATTTTGTGGCGTTTGACGAATGAATACTATAAGGTTTAAGAACTAAACGCTGACGTTTTGTCATATCAAGAGAGATCCAACATTGCGTTATAGAAAAGGTTTTGTAGTAATCTACAGAATAGTCTTGACCTTAGATTAAAGCAGTATTTTCTTCTTCTTCTTCTTCTTCTACGGAGAAAAAAAAATCCATAAACTTTATAAAAGAAAAGCTAACTTTATATATACTGTTGAAACTGATTATGGACTTATGTAAAACGTGACGTCGTGCATGACATATTTGTTTTTGTGTTGATGTTAATTATATATGTATATTGTGTTTCTAGCAAAATGTTAAGTACTTCTAAGTTAAATGAAAGTTACATTATAATGAAATATTTTTTTAGTATCTTTCAGCATTTGATCGTATTACTTTCAGCGTAAAATTTGATAACTGAAACAACCAAATGACTCCGTTTAATTGTATTTGAGTTATTAGACAATTTTTTACCAGTAATTGCAGTTTGAAAATAAAAGTACGAAACTAAATATGCAGTTTGAGAGACATCAGTAAAAAAATGACATAAAAGCCAAAAAAAAAAAAATTGTTGTGTAGATATACACTTATACGCGCGCGCACACACTCGTGTCTGTATGTGTGTCAAATACCCAAAATAGTTTTATATCGCTCTTGTTTATGCAAATAAAAGCTGTAGACAGTTTAGCAAAATGACGTGCTTTGCAAACAGGAACAAAGTCGTAAAATCACAATAATTGTTTTCTTCACATGAACCAGTGATTGTATTTGATTAGATGAGTCCTTTAAAAGATGGTGATTTGTTTGTTAGAAGCTGAGAACATTTAATGTACATTACGATTGTACACCATTGCAAACACCATTAATGTATTTGCCGTAAGTACAATAATTCGTTCAGAAATATAATATAATCGTTTGATATGTATTTGATGTAATCGAATTATCAAGCTTTGCTTATAAACTTCAGGAGTTTATTGTACGTAGGAACCCAGACATTTTCAGTTAATCTCAACACCAGATGGCTAGTTAGTACTTTGGTAGTGAATGTGACGGAAATTATCAAGCTTTGCGTATAAACTTCAGGAGTTTATTGTACGTACGAACCCAGACATTTTCAGTTAATCTCAACACCAGATAGCTAGTTAGTACTTTGGTAGTGAATGTGACGGAAATTATCAAGCTTTGCTTATAAAGTTCAGGAGTTTATTTTACGTACGAACCCAGACATTTTCAGTTAATCTGAACACCAGATAGCTAGTTAGTACTTTGGTAGTGAATGTGACGGAAATTATCAAGCTTTGCTTATAAACTTCAGGAGTTTATTTTACGTACGAACCCAGACGTTTTCAATTAATCTCAACACCAGATAGTAGTTGGTACTTTTGGTGGTGAATGTGACGGGAATCTGTTGTAGGTTTTTTTATCAATGTAGTGAAAAATATATATATATTATGTTTACACACAACTGGATTGTCTTTATCCTGATTTAGTAATATCTCAATTAAATAATCTCAATATCATAGTTTATTGTTATTTTAGTCTATCTTACTAAGTATCAGAAGAAATATCAACTTTATGTTTGTGTTAACGTTCATAACTTTCAGTAAAACAATTCTTCTCACGCAAACTTTCATAAAATTTACATACAAGATAGGCACATTTTCCCAAAGATATTATCTTACACGTTACTGCTACATTCTCCATAACCTTTCTTGACATGCTTTAATATTCAGTTAAAAACACACTCGAAAATAGAAAAACAACAAAGGAAAAAAAAAGACTTAAGACGCCAACTAAGTTCGAGTTTCAGCCTACTATGTAATGTAAGCTTCCGTTCGAGTTCATCCGTGTGGAAATTTCGTTCTACTTTAAAGGTCAAAGGTCATATCTACCATACACTACCGTATTACGCGGTGCCTCTTACTGTTATATGTTATAAGGTAGTTAATAATTTTTTTTTGCCTTTTTCCAATTTCGTAATGCTATGAATTCATTATCCAAAAAAATAAAACAACACTCGGCCAATAACAACGTGAATGTTTGTCATGTTTAATAGACTGTTTGTATATCTCCGTCCACTTTCTGTTTATTTATTCAATATTTAACAAGACTGTTTTATTTTTCTATCATAATTTTCATAAAATGTTAATCTTTAAACATGTTTATAGAATCAGAACAAATATACGTGGTGGTGTGTTTTAGCAATAGTTGGTGACGTCATCCACAGTTTTTGGGTGTTAAAAGTATTTGTTGGAACAATATATTTTTGAGTAAATTCATCATAATGCTTATGTGGAATCGTTTTCTTTATGATACACTGATGACGAGTTACTTGGCCTTTGGAAGTTTCAATGTAATTATTTATGTATGGCGGATTTACCAAACTTTGCACAATTTCACCGATTTATTTTTATTATTTGTTGTTCAAAATTGTAGCTCTTCTGACATATCTACAGCATTCCAAATACGATTAAAACTAAAGTAAAACAAATTATTATCAGTTCAGTATGATTGAATAGAGTGCTTAAACATTTGTTTAACAACAAGTAAAAGCTTGGAATAGTCTATTCTTTCATTGGGGATGTGTCTGTGAGCCAGACTAGTTTCGGAGAATTCCACTCCTCATCAGTGACCCTGGACACTACCACCAATGAAATATCAGACCAAACCGAGCATTTATAGTAGTGAGGTTTCGAAAATCGAAATGGTGTATTTAAGTGTTTTACACTCACAGAAAAAAGAAACCTATCATTCTATGGGTATTTGAAGAACTTGTAGCATTTTGCCACTTAAATACACCATTTCGATTTCAGTATAATGTTTTGGACAGTATTTCTGCTATAGTTCAGACCCGCGACATTACATTCTATTATATTTCTATTTGCAAATGTATGACATTTGTCGAACCATGTAATTAATGTTATCAGAATTATTTTTATCTTATTTTAATGTACAGTATTTCTATTTCTTTAAGGCGGAAAACCTTTTACTTGATGAAAACATGAACATCAAAATAGCAGGTAAATTGCATCGTGTGATCTATTCTATTGTAATAGTTTTCTAAAATTCTAAAAGCATCGGTATAGAAGTTTAACGTTTTGAAACAAGTTAACATTTTTATCTACTTATAAAAAAAATCGTTATGTTATTTGTCTGTTTCCAAAAATATATTTTTCTATCATCAGTTCTCTGTTTTAAACTCGTAACACTACTATAAAATATTAATTTTAGAGACCTAGTCAAAAGGAGAATTTTAATTTCAAGAACGCTGCAATGTAATATTGAAAAGATGTTAGTATCATCAATCTTGATTTTCGACGTGCAAGTGAGACATTATTTTGGTAGATTTTGGCTTTAGCAACTACTACTCACTAAATGACCGGTTGAAAACTTGGTGCGGAAGTCCCCCCTACGCAGCGCCGGAAGTTTTTGAAGGGAAGAATTATATTGGCCCAGAAGTTGATATATGGGTAAGTGCCAACGGCAAGTAAAGGTTGTGAAATTAGGCAATTCATTATAAGCTATTACAGTTTTAAGTCTAAAAGAAAATTTAGGAATGGCCTATATTTATAAATTACAAAATGTTACAGTCAATATGGATAATACTAACAATAGAGTATTACTGTGAAATAAATCATTTCAGAACTCTCCATGCTGCCTGATTATCGTCCTACCGTTTGATCAGTCAGATTTTATTTAATAATTAACATAGTACCATTTCCATACTCTTACTAATAGCTAAGTTATTGTTTGCAAAGTTACGGTTGTTTCAGAAAGATGAGTATACATACGAGAAATATTAACGAATCAATAAGACTATTTTTCAATAAGTAACAATGATCTCGGGTATATACGATGTATTACAGTACTATGCAACTTTCTCCAAATATTTCGCTATTAGAAATGAAATATGAAGTAAAAGTAATCGTCTCTTAATTAAAATATACACGAAAATAAATAATTATAAAACAGCAATGGAAGTAAACAAGATTTATGCACTCAGTTCTGATTTAAGATTAGGGTTCTCTGCTAATCTTTTCAATTTCAGTTGGAGAATGGTATTGTTGATATTTCAGGTATGAACTTATTTTTTTGATATTGTTATTTCACGTCGTTTGTTGATTTTCAATGTATCCTGATTATTTTATTTTTAGATAAATATTACTCATGATTTTCAGAGTTTAGGTGTGGTCTTATACGTGTTGGTGTGTGGAACTTTACCGTTTGATGGTAGTAGTCTTCAAGTTTTACGGGAACGTGTTTTATCTGGTCGCTTTCGCATTCCCTATTTCATGTCCTCAGGTGAGCAAGAATGGAATTAAATTTACACTTCTTAAGTAGAAAACATCGTGTTATGTACATACTAGGGCTCATTTTAATTAGAGACGATGTTTACTTAAGCTTTTAATTACGATTTTTCGTTTAGTACAAAATGCAGTATTGAACTTTGAAAGATATTGGAATCGGTAAATATTTTGTGTACGTCATATTCGTAAACATAACAATATTATTTCATCCAAACAAAACAAATGTGCTAAAGATATGTTATATGTTATTATGTGATGGTCAATCTCACTATTCGTTGGTAAAAGAGTAGCCCAAGAGTTGGCAGTGGGTGATGATGACTAGCTGCCTTCCCTCTAGTCTTTCAATGCTAAATTAGGGACAGCTAGCGCAGATATCCCTCATGTAGCTCTGCGCGAAATTCAAAACACACTTAAGATTGTTAGTGTGGAAACTTCAAATTAATATGATCTTCCTATATTTACCAGATGTGGTAGTCTCGAATTTCTGCATTAAATTGCTGTATGTCTCGCTTTTTTTACGCTTAGGTGTGCTTGATTTAAATGTTGATTTTAATATATTAAAATTCTGCTTTTACAACTACTTAATAATAATATTTATTTTAATGACATGTTTATTAAGATAATATTATGAAGACTTGAAATTTGCCCTATTACTGTGAACCACAAATTATTTTATGCACTGAATTTTTTTTATTTTGCACTTTTTTTTATTAAAAGACAGGAAAAAAAGTTATAACTGGAAATGTATGTTATGTATTTTATTTTTACGTGTTTAAAAAATTTTGTAATAAAGTTTATAATTTCAAGTTATATCAGCAACAGACTCATTCAACGGTCATTGAACATTTAACACGTGTGTGTAGAGTAACAAATCATATAAAGACTAATTAAAATATAGAATATAAGGATAAAGTAAATTAAAAGACAAACAAATAAACAAGTAAACATTGTTGCATTACCCTATTATTTCTTGTTTATTTGTTTGTGTTTTAATTTATTTTATCCTTATATTCTATATTTTAATTACTCTTTATAAAATGTTTGAATTTTTGTACATAATAA